ATCAATGTTCACGGTTCATTACCGAAAATTGATGAGATTAGATAAATTGTTCAGAACCATTCTATTGATATACTTGGTATCTGTGACACCTGGCTGGAAAGTTCCATCCCTGATGAGGAGATTAAAATCGATGGTTACAACGTGATCCAAAGAGACCCAAATATAGAGGGTAGTGGAGTCTAAGTTTATGTTAGAGACACCTTGAAATATCTCAGGAGAGATGATCTGAATAACTCCAATACTGAATGTGTACGGATTACGATCAAATCACTCATGATTGGCTTGTTATTGGTAATGTGCACAGACCACCAAGTGCCCAGGCTGCCTATTTTGACTCCAAACTTGATTTGCTGGAAATGCAAACACAATTTTGTACAAAAGTGAATATGCAGCAACTTGTGTTATCCCCTACCAGGGTTACAGCTAAATCAAGTTCATTAACAGATGTGATTTTAACAACTGTTCCCCAATTTCATGTGTACTGATGTTTTAAAAGTATGTCTTAGTGATCATTATTTGATTTACACAATTTTTACCGCATGGTTGCCGGTACCGGAACCGTATTCTTTATACGCGTGGCCGGGGTCTCCGAAATCGGACAAAGGGACCTGGGCCTTGTAACAAAAGACTGTACTCGTAACAAAAGACCAGGCTGCTGGGAATTGCCAACATTTTTCCACTGGCAATAGTGGAGATAATGCAGCCTTGTTTTGAAACAGTATACAGTACCTAGGCTTCAGGCATTTAGCATGAGCGAATTATCATCAGGGACAAAAGCGCTCCGCCACTGCAGCGATGAGCCACACGCTAATCTGGCCCCTACTGAAAAGATGTGAGCAGCACACTGTGCCAGTTTCGTGAACGAAAAAAAATTACGTAACACCACAAAATCTGGGCTCTTTTTTCAAGGCGGCAGGCCTTGCTGAAATACTCCGGTGTCAATAGATGTTGTCTGTCAGAATAGAGTAGAAACCAGACAGTCCATCGTGTGGGTGTAAGTGTCCAGTATTTAATGAAGATATGAATTTTTTAACAATTTTTAAAACAGGAAAAAAATGATAATTATCCAGTCCCTGCATCATCAACATTGATAAATGCCACCAGCGCAAAGTGCTTAAAAAAGCCTGTAAACATTAACTTGCAAAATAATAGAACTGTTACTTTTAGGGATGTTAAATGTTTTACTGAAGATTCCTTTTTATCTGATTGGGTTAAATGTTCTTTTATTACTACAAATTTTGATGATCCAAACACTGATCTTAACTGTCTGGGATAACTTTGAGGGTGAGTTTGTTTTTTTTTCCCGAGTAACAAACATGTTCCTCTTAAAACAATGAGATTGAAAGACAGATTTTCTCCATGGACTAATAAAGATATTATCCACAAAATATATGAGAGGAATAGAATGTATAAAATGGCTGTCTCTACAGGTTCTACACAATATTGGGCTGATTATCAATATCTAAGAAACCAAGTTACTTCCAAGATTAGGACTGAAAAGAAACGCTACTTTGATGGCAGATTTCATAATTTTAACTCTAATCCGAAGAAAATCTGAAAGACTATTGATGTTTACAGGTCTAAGCATAGTAATCCTCCTAATGATATTTTTGGTAATGATTTTAATGAATTTTTTGGTAATATTGGTAAGGCTACAACTGAGCAAGTTACTGATAATGCATCTCAGCCTGATTTCTCATGGAAAAAATCCTTGTTGTAACACCAAGTTTGAGTTTGAACTTATTACTGAGAGTTCTGTAACTGCTTCCTTAGAAGTAATAATAGTTTGATCAATATTTTGGGATTTTATGCTAAGCTGTTATACATGTATACTTCAGCCAACCCATTCTCACTCAGATGTTCAACATGTCATTGCAGAGTGGTGTTGTTCCTAATGATTGGAAGTTGGCTCAAGTTAGCCCTGTTTATAGAGGAAAAGGTAAAAAAAGATGACCCGGGTAATTACAGACCAATTTCTTCTATTTGTCAGATTTCTAAGACCATGGAGAAACAAGTTCAGCAACAGCTGTTGGCCTATCTTACTCGGCATGATTCTATTTGTACTGACCAGTCGGCACTTAGAAAGTTTCATAATACTCAAACTGCCCTTCACAGAGTTGTTGATAGAGTTGTTGGATTGATAACATGAATGATGGATTGATTACAGGGATTTGTCTTTTAGATATTAAGAAATGTTTTGATTCTACATGTATTAGTCATGAGATTCTGAAAACAAAACTTTTGAACTACGGTATTTGCAACTACATGTGTTTCTTTGCCAACTGCTCTCAAACAGCAGTTAATGCCATTGTTAGCTCTGATGTTTCATTTGTATCACCAGGTATCAGAATTCCCCAAGGGTCTGCATTGGGCCCAATTTTGTTTATGATTTTTGTTAACCCCTCGACGACGGGAACTTTTTTCTGAAACCCGAATCTGAGAATTCCAGCCTCGCTTAGCCACAAAGGCCACCTGCCAAACCGCAAATTCTCGGTTTGTGGCCCTGCGTGCTCTACACGCTTTGAATTACACAGTGAAAAGGCTCGTTGTTCGGTGGCATGCAGCTCTACTCACGCTTCCACATTCCCATTGCCTCTTTTCAAAGTGGGGACTATTGTGAAGCTGGTGATTATGATGCAAATTCGGTCCTTTCATTTCTGGGCTACACACAAAGACCAATCACCATATATGCAAGAGCCAGGGTATGCCTTCTTTCACCGTGTTCACTCAAGCGTGGGACGAGAATAATAGCTGAAAAGCGGGCTGAGGATCTAAATTTTTACAGCGGCTTTTACCATCATCCGTCGCGAAGGGGTTAATAACCTTACTCAACATGTTGGCTTGGCAACATGTAATTTCTATGCTGATGATACAATTCTGTATTGCTCCAGGAGAAGTGTGAAGGAGGATTCTAAAAACTTGCAGAATTCCATGAGTAATGTCGCTAAATGGTACACAGTAAATAGGCTTGTCTTAAATACAAATAAATCTATGGTTATGACAATTAACTTGAAGCATATGAGATCAGATCATAAACTTAACATTTTCATTAATACGGACCAACTTCAACAAGCAAATGTAGCTAATTACATGTACCTAAGAGTTAAGCTAGACTTGTCACTCAATGGATTGTCATTTGGTTTAACTGAGAAGCTCCATTTCTTCTAGAATTAAAAAATTAAAGCGATTAATGAATGCAACGTCTAAAAACATTTTCATGACCATTTATAATGGTACCACCCAACCACGTATTGATTATGCCATGACCATTTGGGATTTACAAGCCAAAAGAACTTGGCTCATATTCAGCGACTTCAGAATTATGCTGCTAGATTTATCATGGGAAATTATTACTACTTGAATTCTGAAGGAATTGATCTTGTCAAGTTGTTGGGCGGATGGATGTTATTTTACCACAGTTTTAATATATAAATGTATCCATGGTCTGGCCCCGAGCTACCTCACCAATAATATTGTTTTACAAATTGAGACCAATAAAATTAGTATAATGACTAGGTCTCATCCAATGAATTTATATTACCCTATCCCTAAACTTGAGTAAGCAAAATGTTCACTAAACTTTGCTGGACCTAAACTGTGTGGAACAACTTACCTGATTTCTGTAAAGGTATTACTAATGACACCACCTTTAAAAAAAAAACTTTAAAAATTTGCTTAAAATGAATCCTGATCAGTTGTTACAAGGACACAGTTAACAGGATATACCTTTTTTAGTCAAAATTCATTTTTGTGTTTGTGTGTCTTTCTTGTTTTAATCCTATTATTTGATGTGCATACTGTTTGTGATGACGGGGCCATTTTGAAAAGCAGCTACTTGTAATGCTGAACAATGTTACCCTGTATAAATAGGTTTTTAAATAAATAAATAAATAAAAGATAATTTGCTGTGTAAGTCCCGGACTTACGCAGTGCAAAAGTTTTGTGAAATCACTCTCAATTTGTTGTGCAAAGTATGCATTAAAAAGTGGCATACGTGACGTCATGCCTTTGCATAAAGTTTCATTAAATCGACTGCTGGAGATGCAATTCAGTCTTCTTCTATGTCTACCAGGAGTGGTGGCTGGGAAGAGCCGCCCTCTTGCCTGAGCCCATTTTTCAGCAAAGATAAATGGCAACATATAACAAAAAGGGTGGTATGGTATTCTTGCCACAAATAGTCAGACCACACACACTTGGTGTAGACAAAACTTTAATAATATAGACACGTGAAAATGAAGGAGATTACAAGCCTTTGGGAGTTTAAAAATTTTATATCTCACTCAATCAAGTGCTACAGAAAAGGAGGACAAGGGTGCCAGACTGCTCAGGAGTTACATGTAGGCAGTGAGAACACTATTTACAATGTGGTATAAAAACACTAACAAATGGGAGCCTTAGGCAGGAGAAATATGCAAGTGTAAGGTTCAACAGTTAAGGGAGGCTGGGAAGTAGACTTTAAAAATACCATGGGAAGGAATTTGCCTTCACACCAGTTTTCAGATGCTATCAATGGTCCTACCAAAGCAGATGAGTATTTCTACTGTTCCATAACAACGGCATGGCATCCAAACTTTCACAGGCTATAACTATGATAACCCTTGAAGATACAAAGCTGAAACTTTAGTACCCATTGTTTGGTACGTAATGTTACTTTTAGAAACGTTTTAAAGGCAATCTGAGTAGGACCACATGGAGTCTGGAATAAACATGGAATGTTTATTCCATGGAATAAACCAATTAGAATTTGTGACTTTCTGCAACACTGCGGTTCAGACTAAGCATGTGTACGAGTCAGTGTGCATGATCCTGTGCATGGCACCAGTTTAGCAAAGAAATGTTGGCTTTCAGTCTCTTACAGACATATGTAGACAATGTGTATGAAGAACCCAAAAATTAAAGAGTGATTTCAACTCCTTTAGTCTAGAACAAAGAAATCTGGTTGAAATGGGATGCATATATTAATATATGTATTGTTTTTGTGTGTTTTAAAAACATTTTACCTGATTGGCTAATGAAGAAGCAGACATCATCTCTGAAGATGGGCGTGCGGCGATCCAAGAAATCACTGGAAAGCTCAATCATAACAGGTAGCTGAGTCAATTCCTCCATGAGTTGTCTCGTCTGGAAAATTTGACAAAAATACAAGAGTTTATGCAAAGCTATTTATGGCTTGGACTCAAGCAATGATGATTAACCACTTTGCCCTGGGGGCATTTATCAATGTTGATGATGCTGGGATGGGATAATAATCTTTTTTTTCTGTTTTCAAAATTCTTTAAAAATTCTGGTTTTAGTGAACACTCAAGCAGTGTGTGGACACCTGCATGTAAAACTGCCAATGAAAAGACTAATAAGCCATGTAAGGTTCTGTTTATTCAATCCTTTAAGGAATCAAGTATTCGTGAATTTGGAAAGTGGATTACACAATATAGTTGGAAGGAAGTTAAACAGGCCAACTAGTAATTGATAAGGCTAATATTTTTTATAATATTCTTCATAAAAAATAGACCGGTAATTTCCAAGTCAGAAACTTAAGTTGCATAGTACCAATATGCCTTGGATGACTTCCTAAACAAAGAATTTGATATTGAGAAGACAAGCTGCATTTAATCACGCTAGACCCCCTTTATGGAGACTCCTCCGTAATAAGGTTAATCGTGCTATCCAAAAGGATAAACATGAGTATTATCATAATAGAGTCGAAAGATACAAAAAGGCTAACTCTGCACAGTGGAATAAGCAAACATACAAAGTTTTCTCAGAAATGCTTTCATTATGTCAATTTTGGGTTCAAAATTTGAACAGGAAAACCTATGCACTGAAACATGTCTTCCCTAGATGACATCATAGCAACAGCGCTCTCAGTTTTTCTGGAAAGGATGGGTTATTTTTAATGTTTAAAATCTGACACTTTTTTGTTCAATGCATTTAACTGGATGAGATGTGAAATAATTTTCATACAATGAAGACGACTTAAATAGAAACTTAACAGAAGAACAGTAAAATGGTAAAGATATTCCAACTGTCACACTGGCTTCAACACTGCACTGTGGAATATTTCTGTTGGCTCTAAGTTTGAAGCGCCGCTTGATTAAGTAAAAAAAATCACATTCTGAATCATCTATGCTTCACAAAAACAAATACAACCAGGCTAACATGTACATGTAAGTACCACACAACTTTGTCAGGAACAAAGGAAAAGATGTTTCATTTTAATTTGAAAAGTCAACGGAAACTCTAGTACTGAATAGTAAATACTTCCACTGTATACTGCTCTGACTGGCAAAGTTTATACGAATGGTAAAGAAGTCATCATGATATCAGAATAACATGCACATCTTGGTATCAGGACTGACATTTCTATCAAGTGTGAAGTTGATACACTGTATGGCTTTGAAAAAAAAAAAGCCCTCAGAATTATTCTCTGAAAAAAAAAGACCATAAATGAGAAGGAATCGATATAGAGTCACCAGGTAAACAGGACTGAGCCCAGTCATCTAATTCTTGTTGTTATATACTTACAGCCATTGCTGAGTGATAGCTTGTTCCGCAAGCAATGAAAAGAAGTCTTCGGCAGCGATTGATTTCTGACAGATAATGCTTTAAGCCTCCCAGATTTACTGTAAAAAATTAAATCAAAACTAACATTTTCAAACAAAATCAAATATTCTAACAGATATAAAATATTTAGAGCAAAGAAAGAGCTTGAATCAAGCTTTACTTATAAATGCCTTGTATTTCTAATCTGTTTTGTTATTGACCATGTAACTATTAGTTAGGCAGGTATCAGCCAAAATGCAGCAAATTGTGGATTTTTACGTACAAACCTGAATTTTGGCACAATTTAGTACTATGACCTAAGCATTATTTTGGGAAGTGAAGCCACTCTGAAAATGTCCACAGAATTCCCTTTTAATACCCTGCTACATGCTACAATGTATTAAAGAGTTTGTAAAAGTTACAAGCCTGCTACAACAAGATCCAATGAGTCAACTACATGTATCCCAAGGTTAAGCAGCCTCAGAGTCACAGCCCGCCAATGCTACAGCATCTAAGAATGAAGGCAACTCTCTCAGAATTAGTAGTTTACAGGCTTCTGCTGTTGATTACCAGTATGACAACATCCTACTGAACACAGTTTGCATTATTCAGGGTAAGGGTTAAGCATGAGTATTTGGGAACCTTTCAAAGAGTCTAAAATGATGAAGAGACAAATTTGACACAACATTTGATCATTGCCCTTACCAATGAAGTCCTCAAAGTTCAGCCTTCCCCTCATCGTGTTGACAACACTCTCTGCCTGCTCAAAAATCTCTTTCTGCATAAAGTAGTTGTAGTTACCTGAAGTGGGTGCACAAATGAGAAGCAACACATGATCTCAAAGACATAATGGCGAATAAGACATCGCTGACTGCCTAAATTACAGTAACATCCAGCTTTTATACAAAAAGGGCTATTCTGAATATTCAGCTATACAAAGCCATTGATTGAAAGTTAAGAACTAGAAATCTATGTCTGTTCGAGAACAGAGCAAACACTTTTCCACATTTGGGTGGTTCTTAGGGAAAAAGAATCTATCCAAAAGAATATTAAAATGTAAAAAAAGAAAGTAGCGAAATAACATCATGACCTCTGATGTACAAAAACGTGTATCAAATCGAGAAAGACTGCACATTTAATCTCATGTCACATGACACCTGAAAACGTAACAGGTTTTTTGTTGACACCCTTTCAGGGTGATGGACTAAATTAAATATGCACCAAATGTAAAGTCATCAGATGGACAAGAGTGCTTGTGTCTGTGATTGATATTACTAAAACATGCACCTGAATGACCACCTGGATGACCTGGAATCGGACCAAATGTTCAGCCTAATACATTGTCTCTTCAAACTTTGCTTCCATTTTTGATACTCTGTTACACACTACAGGCTATACGCTAACACAGACTTAGTTTTTGATGGAGAGCAAGTGAAATTACACAAATGAAAAAGGTAAAGAAATGGACGAATGCGCAACAAAAATTATGAAAGGGCTAGGAACACTTCACAGCATGCATTCATCGCGCATGCGTGGTGACACATTTTGCTAGCCCATAGTGCGGAAGTTGTTCATTGTGCATGCTGTGCACGTTGAAATTTTCAGAAGCTACACACCAAAAAAAGGTATTTCTTTGTTCATCAGACCACAAAAGTTTTGCACCACTCGTGCATGGACGGATGTTGACAGGTCAAATTGCCGGATCAGATCCACCTTTTGCGTTCCAATCTAACCGTGATCCGCCAATTGCAGGATCTGATCCATCAATTGGGGGATCTGTATCCTGCTCCAGAGGAGGATCAAGAAAGGTGGATCTGATCCTGATATAACGGTTAGCGTTCCCACTATACACAATTGCCGGATCTGATCCACCAATTGATGGGCAAAATTTGGCAAAAGGGGGATCAGATCCCCCAATTGGTGGATCAAGTGGGGACGCACTGTATCTATTGTTTATTCCTTTTGTCAAATAGCCTGCTCTTTCTTTAGTTTATTTTGAATGTTCCTGCTTTCCCAGAAGAAGCTGCATCACAGGATGCTCTCTGACCGTGTTCCCACTAGAATTTGGGAAAAGGTGGATCATGATTGGGCATTTTGGTGTGATCGTTATCTTACAGCAACGAAACCGCGAAGTTGCATTCCCACTTACGCTTCATCCACTTTTTCGCAAGGAAATGTCGAGCCCAAAAAGTCACTGCGTTTGGTATTACGCATGTGCTAGGACGGATGTTGACAGGTCAAATTGCTGGATTAGATCCACTTTTTGCATTCCCATCTGATCGTGATCCACCAATTCAGGGATCTGATTCACCGATTCAGGGATTTGTATCCTGCTCCAAAGGAGGATCAAGAAAGGTGGATCTGATCCTGATCCACTTTACAGCAGTTAGCATTCCCACTACACACAATTGTCAGATCTGATCCACCAATTCGCGGATCTGATCTGGCAATTTGGCAAAAGGTGGATCAGATCCCCCAATTGGTGGATCAAGTGGGAATGCGGTGTTTGTATCCACTGCCTTTAATCTCTGACCAGTACACCAGTGTGTACACTCCCGGTAAATTTTACAGATCAGCAGGATGTAGGGACACTTAATCCTTAGTTGTTGTTTGCACCTTACTCAAGCTGTGAAAACCATAAATTTCTGCCTAGATAATAAATGACCAATCAGTGTTGAAGTCATGTGTGACATGTTTAAAAATGTCCAATGAGAGCCTGAGCTAGTCATGTGGAAAGGGCATATTCTGGGTGGCAGTTTGTCCCAAGAGTTTTGGCAAGCTTGGCATTCCAAACTTTGCCATCGTGCTGACTACACGGCGAATTTTGTCTGCACTCTGCACTATTTTCTTCCTCCTATGTTCACGAGTTTTGGCTCTCTATTTTAGGTAAGTTTGAGTTCTTATTCACATCATTTTATACTATTGTATGTCTTTTCTGGGGTTTAGTGATTGCATTTTCACTATAACTCTTGTAAATTGTGAAAAAAGTGTACCGATTGATTTTTATGAAGTCTGGACTTTGGGATATTTTGAGAAGCCCAGGCGAATTTATGATGTTGAAGGTTTGATATCTCAAAATTTCCACTGGTCAGTAATGTTCCGAGACTAGATCCAAAGGAAATGTTTCCTCGGAAAGCTTTGCTTTTACATTTAGCTAAAGACGTGTTTAGTGAAATATTTGACATGGTTTGAGATTGTGCACTTTTCTGTCACTTTGACTTACATGTATAATTTAGTGGAGGCCAGGAATGAGTGGAGCCCTTCACTGCGTTGAGAAACAGATGCAGATTTTGTATATATGTATAAGTCAGGACTTATCACCGATCATATTCATGGTGTATGTGATAGACTGACTGTGGTCCTACAGTTTAGATTGATGCTTTTGTAATGCTTTTCGATGATTATGGTTTATTTGAATAGGGTTTCATGAACACTTGACAGATTGTGATGTGCGTTGATTTATCAGAAGTCTAAAGATATGAATTTTCATTTGGTAAAGCTTTAGACTTTGTTTTTCTGATATATACATGTACGTGGGTCTCTCTATGAAGTTCAGGCAAAAAGTGTGACATAGGGGTGAAAATTTAAAAGTGTTGAACTTTTTGATTCCCACCTCATGATATGTGGGACTGAGAAATGCATTCCTAGGGTGATCCTGTCTAGATGGTATTTTATTTTGAGGTTTTCATACAGCTACCGAAGCATGTAAACCTTTAAGGAGGTCGGTTGCGTTCGCCCGACTTCGTACATTTATATTAGTAATGTAGCATGGACCACTATGCTCTCTATCTTAGTTACTGTACTGCATGTTCTGAAAGAGGGTCTGGAGGGGAGTCTCTGTAGTCCACCTGAAGAGCTGTCCCCGGGCATCCCAGCCACTGAGCTATTGTGACTTGCAGGCACATTATTAGTACACCAAGGCATCCATGGCATTAATCACCAGCATCGATACCAAGGCATCCATGGCATTAATCACCAGCACATATCTAAAATTTTGGTTCAATTTTTTTAAAAGTCATTTTGAGGACTATTTCCACTCAAAATGGACAATTCATTGTTAAGCCTCTAATACGACTATTAAAAATATTGCTTTGGTATTATAAAGATTTCGTGTCTCTATAACCATTGCTTGTCAGCTTACTTAATATTTTTTCTCAAAGCCAGTATGTTACCCTTTTAATTGATGTATAGTTTATTTCAAAACCTACATCCACTGAGCAGTAAGGGATCGCAGAAATAAATTCTTTTTATCGTAAAATGATAGTAAAAATAAGACAAATAAAATGCTGCTTATTTTGTCAATCAGCCATTAACAGTTGGGGTATTTTGTAAAATTCTCTTAATAAATTGAAAGATTGAATATTTGGTAATCAACAGAAAATTCCGCATAAATCCCGCAAGATCGAATTCATATCGAAAAATCTATAACTTTCGCCAGCGTGGTCGTTGAAAAACAACCGAGAAGAGCGACGAAAGTGTGCCCTCTGTTGACGATTCGTGAATAGACGAAGTCCGTTGCGTCCGTATAATTATTGTTTACTCGCTGCACATCGACCAATACATTTCCCGTACCAATTTCGATTAGTTTGGTGAATAAAGAGACTATACTTAGCAAAGGCAAGTTCTCTCTGTATTTTTTATGTCATGTTGCACCACTAATGGCTGAAATTGGCTTTTAAATTTGATTGATTGGCCTGATTGGTTTCGTCTCAGCTCGAAGACTTGTTCAGATGCGAATGACAGTTTCATAGCTATGCCTAGCTCAGTGTACTACCTAAAAACTCTTGATTTGCACTGTCACTAAAGTAGCTCTCTCTTGAACCTTCACTTTAAGTTTTAATTCTAAAATAATGTCCAAAAGTAACTGACTTGTAAACAAATTGGAAAAGGCAACAACTATTTTGTAAAACAAAATGTGTTAAAAATCTTTTCATTTTTAGAGTCGGCACTCTGTTTATTTCGGTAGAATGTGCAAACTTGCATAGTTTTAAAAGCCCATTTCCCCTTTTGTGATGTATTATGTAGACATGGTAATCGTTGTAAAGCGTAGTTGTAAGAAAACGAATATCTTTCCATAAAGTTTGATATGATCCGTCCAAATTTTATAAGGGCGTTTTCTGACTTACTTTCTTGTAGGTACATAATGGCAGAAGTTAAACAAAAAGGTCCATCAACATGTGAAGTCTTTGATAAGTACATGTATATAAAGGTAAAGTGTGGACAACGGGTTCCCAGCTTCACAAAAATTGCCAGAGAAATTATTGATAATGACAACTTGTCTGGACCATGGTGCACTGATGAGCAAATTACATGTCGAATCAGAAGATTGTACAGTGACATGAAACACATGGGACATTCATCCAAGCGACCTTCAGAGAAAGCAAAAATCGATAAGCTTCTGGATGAACACTTAATCAATTTCAATGAAGTTCCTATCACACAGGTGGATGCGTCATCTATGACCATCAGGGACACTCGTAATGCATCTTGTACTTCAGTTGGTTCACAAGTTAATATAGAGGAAGTTGACACCGAAAGCGACACAATCAGGATAGTTCCCCTCGATGAATTGGGCCAGCGTCAACAGTTTCGACGTACAAGTGATCTGTTGGAAAAGCTGCGTCAGGAAGCTGACGAAAATGGAGTTTCAACAACACAGCTCTTGGGGTTTCTCATTCAAAAAGAAAACTATGTGAGCAATCGTAAATTGGCAGATGTAGGGATGAAACTGTTCAAGGATGTCCCAGTGGTAAATGAGTTATCTGAAGACAAGGAACTCTACTTTCTGTTGACATACAACCTGGGAAGAACAGGGTACACAAATCTGAAATGTGACCTGAAAGAACATGTCAAACTTCATTATGGCAAAGAAACATGAAATAACTCCCGAGCTAACTCACCACAGTGACGGCTTCCCTGAAACAATCATGTAGTCTGCATATGAAACGGGTGGTCGAGGCTTATCTGGAAATCATATCGGCGGAACACTTTCGAGTGAAATGTAAAGATGGCTTAGATGGATCAGGTCGGCATGCCATTTATCATCAGAAGTCCCAGACCCAAATGTAAAACATGATCCTGTACATGTGGATACCCCTTGAGATCTACATAGAAGAGGAACCATCTGCAGCTAGCTCATCAACAGAATCAGGTAAAATGAAAGGGTGGGGCGTTGTAATCAATTGTCTAAACAAACAAATTTTACTACAACCCCTTATTATAATTTAAAATCTAAATAATATTTTTAAAGATCTGAAGATTATTATTACAGATCTAAAGATTGATATTCTATGAATAAAGAACAATGTTGTTGGTTTCATTAGACTCCACAGTCTGGAGGGAGAGAACTCCAAACAGTCCCAAAGCTGCTATTCCCCTATTTCTTTTGAAAGGAAAAGAGGATAGAGAACTTCTAGAGTCTGTCATCCCATCTGTCGAAGCGGAAAAGACAGCTCTGACGAAAGAGGGCATCGAGTTGGACATCTCTGGAAAACAGATCCATTTCAAGTTTGACTTTAATCTCACAACGGTGGACGGAAAGATGATCAAGCTACTAATGGGACGAGGAGGGGGCTTCTGTGTTCTCTGCCCTGTAAGTCGAGAAGAATGTCACAATCTGGATAGAATTGAAGAAGGGTTTCCGATCGGAGAAGTCACTAACAAGGACATCAGAAACCTCTTCCAAGACCTACAACAGGAAGCCATCATCAAGACAAAACCCGGTGACTACGGTGAGCGTCTGGGACTGACACAGGAACCCATCACAACCTGTGACATCAAGGTGTTTCCAGTTTTGCATGCTACTCTCAGAACCATGGACTGGATTCTGAAAATAATTTACCATCTAGCAGCTGGTGTTCGAACCTGGCGGGAAAACTTCTTGAATGAAAGCAAAATCAAGAAAGCCAAAGACAAGGTCAAAGCCTACATCTTTGACAAGACTGGCATCAGAGTTGATTCATGAGCCAGACCCAGCTGGTAAAGGAGGAACCTCTACAACAGAGTCCACATCCAGACGTTTGCTTCATAACAATTCAACACGACAAGTTTTGATAGAGTGCATACATGAGAAAGGAGACGATCGCAAGCAACTTACCCAAGTAATCCGGAACATGTCCATCATCCTACGCCTTGTATCTTGCACAGAATTGATCAAGAAACCAAGGAGATGATGATACACCTATGGAATACTTCACGTAACAATGTACATTGATGTAAACGTGGAATGTATTGAAAAAGCTTACCCTTCATAATCTGCTGAAGTTCCATCTTGAGTGTCTGTACCTCACGGGACATAAGGTCTCCTTCCTCCTTCTTGATTCGATGAATTGACAAGCCTGGGAGGAGAAACTACATTATGTGAGATGTAATTTTTTTTTTTACCTTCAAATGAAAAGAGGACGTTACCATCACACATGAAACTTGAAATACCCACCAAGTACTGAACCAATCCAGTGACGTAAATTTTGGGCATTCTTTTTGTTCTCCTTTTTTTTTTTTTGGCTTTTTCGCAAGTCGAGAAGGCATTACTTAAGTTGTGTTTTGGGTTTTTTTTCTTCTGACTTCGTCTGCCCCAAGTCCCTTTGTTTATACATGTTTCTTCCACCATCGACTTCAATTCCTGAGCAACTTTGGATGTTCATCAAACTTACATCAATGAAGGACCCTTGTGTATAGATGGTCAAAGAGCAAGGACGTCATGATGACACCATCAAGTGACTTCTTATTGATTTTTTAATATTTACCGGTATTTCAGCCCATTTGACTTTGTACATGTTTATGAGGCTTTGATCATAATCAAAGTTACACCACGCAAAGGCCTTAAGACAAAGATAGTATTAAAATAATAAAGTCATGATGACGTCATCAAGTGATTTGTTATTAAATTTTGAATATTTAAATACATGTATCATGTCTGATTGGGTTCAAACCTCCCATATATCTTGGAAAGAGAAGGCTTCAGACAAAAATTAACCTGATGTGATGATAACGTCATCATTTGCCAAGTCACCTGACATTAAAAGTGCACTCTTCAAAGCACTGTATCTGGTGAAGTACAGTGCACGATTGGGCTCAAACCATGCAGAGAACTAAAAAGGGAAGTGTTATAGAGGAAAATTTACGTCATGTGCTGATGATCTCATCAGGTGAGAAGTTACGTGACATCAAATATGCACTGTTTAAAGCACTATATCTCCTGAAGAATATGTCCGATTTGGTTCAAAATTTGCTGATATCTTGAAAGTTAAGTGATTTAAATGGATACTGACCTCCTGTGAGGATGACATCATTAGGTGACAACGTGACATTAAAGATTCACTCTTTAGAGCACTTTATGTCAAAAGTACATCTGATTAGGTTCAAACCTAGCTGATATCTTAAAAGGAAAATTCTTTAGACAAAAATTGACCTGATGAGAGGATAACGTCATCAGGTAGTAATTCACGTAATATGAAAGGTGCAATGCTTAAAGCACTACATTTCCTTAATAGCATGTCCTGTGGTGTTCAAACTTTGCTGATATCTTGAAAGGGAAGTGACTTAGGCAAATATTGACCTCGTGTGAAGATGACAGCATCAGGTGAGAAATCAAGTTGAGATTAAAGGTACATTCTTTAGATCCCAATATATTGTGATGTTCATGTCCAATCGGGTTGAAATTTGGTAGACAGCGAGAAATGGAAGTTTTACAGACGAAGTGAAGTGATAAAAAGGTTAATACCATATCTTCTAATGTCTGGAAGGGTTTCCACATTTGTCATTATAACGTCACCAAAGAAAATATTGGAATTATTTTTGTAATAATTTGTAGCTCTGGAGTAGATCTTTAAGCAGAAAGAGAGAAATGGAAATGTGGAAGTATCTCCCATGAATTTTTCTTAACAAAAAAAAGAAAAATGCGAAAAGCCCTTTACTCTGTCCTTAACCACTTGCTGCCAGGGAACTCTGTTTTTGGTACCATGGTTTTATACACAGGGCCGTGCTGCCCAAAATGGGACAAAAGAGCTGGTCCATGTAACAAAAGACTGTACTCGGAACAAAAGGCCTGCTGCTGGGAACTGCCATCATTTTTCAGCTTGCATTTTTCGAAGGTAATCCATCACTGTTTTTAAACAGTATACCACTGTTTTGGGCATAGTGCAACCGTGGATTAGCACCGCGGACAAAATTGTTCCAGGGCCCCCATTGATGAGCGACACAGCCCCGCTGCATGCTAATCCATTCGCATTTGAAAAGATGCCACTCGCATTCACTGGGAACAAAGGAAATTACGGAACACCTCACAAATTTTGGGCTCTCTTTACAGGGCGGCAGGCCTGGCTGAAATACTCAGAAGTCAATGAAGGTTGCCTATCAGCTTAGAGTAGCCACCAAACAGTCATTCATGTGGGTATAAACATCCATTAAATGAAATGATGAATTTTAAAGATTTTTGAAAACTGAAAATCTTCAAAATGGCCCATATGTGTGCACAGCATTTTTAAAAGCACCCGGCAGCAAGTAGTTAAGACAGATAAAACCTCTAGTTTTTCTTCATCATCTTCGTCTGACCCCAACCCCCTTTTTTTGTACAAGTTTCTTCCACTGATTTATTTTGAAATGTTGAATATTTAATTTCCCCATACATTTTTTTAAACTGTTCTTCAACAGGAAGACTGCTTTTGCACTGTTATCGATCTGACTGAGTTTGTGTTGGGGGCACACACTATAAGGCCACAAGCTAGAAAAGGTTCCTGTACAAGTTCTCATAATGACCTCATCGTGTGACAAGTCATCTGACATTCAAGGGGCACTCTTTAAAGTGCTATATCTCGTGAAGTACATATCCGATTGGGTTGAAACTTTGTGAATACATGTACATGTAGATCCAAGGGTTTCAGACGTAGATTGACCTCATGCGATTGTCACATCATCGTGTGACAAGTTATCTGACATCTAAGAGTTTTAGACGTGGATTGACCTCATGCGATTGTGACATCATCATGTGACAAGTCATCTGACATTCAAGGGGCACTCTTTAAAGTGCTATATCTTGTGAAGTACATGTCTGATTGGGTTGAAACTTTGTGCATAACTAAAACGGGAGTGAGTAACTCTCAACTTCAACCGAGAATTACTGCCAGAACGAATGAGAAATAAGACTAAATTTTCTCTTCCGTTCGATTGCAAATATACCCAAGAGTCAAAATATCAAGTAATATTTCATTAAATGTTTTCCGTCAAAATGCAACTCATGTGACACGAATTTAAAGGAGCAGTTTTTTCATACGTGTAGTGCTTTTAGCCCATTGACTTTGTACAGTACATGTTTTCAAACAACCATTTTAATAATTTTGTGATGTTTGATGGTTATCAAAGTGAACGCCAAGAAAGACCTTGATACAAAAATTATTCTAATTGGATGACTTCATGATGATGTCATCATCTGATTTATTAATGATTTTTCAATGTTTATTTCAGCCCATTCATTTTGTACACGTTTTCATGCCACTATTTTGATAACTTTATGTTTGATCCTCACCAAAGTTACAGCCAACAAAGACCCTGATAAAAGAATTTTGCTAAATTTATCACGTCATGATGACATCACCTAATTTCTTAATGATTTTTTAATATTTAATTTTCTGCTATAGGTTTTATACATGTTTTTCGCCAGCCAGTCTTCAGAACTCAGCAATATGATTCAATTATGTAACATTCATTAAATGCCAACATTTTCTGTTCATTCTAACATTTTCAAAGCTTATTTTTTTAAAATGCCTTCTCATCTTCAAAGCGCTACATTTCATAAATACATATCCAATTGGGTTCAAACCTTGCAGATATCTTAGAATGGGAGTGCTTTAGACAAAAATTGACCTCAGTGATGATGTCATTAGAGGACGAGTCACATGATAATTATCATCAGGTACATTTGTATCTCATGAACTACATGTCTGATTGAGAAAAGGATGCATTTTAGACAAAAATGAACATTATGTGTTGATAGCAGACCCTAACACAGATCATACTAAAATAATGAAGTCAGGATGACATTATCATTGTTCATGTGACATATGAATAATTAAAGCAGTTCATGTCAGAGGGCATAAGTTTCATAAGCAGCATGTTAACACATTTCTGTTCACACACCTACTTGTGTTGGCATTTCCTAACAAGTAAAGTTGTCCCCTTAACCTGGGGAAGGCCTGCCCATTGTTCTGGGTGTCATGTACATATGCCCTCACACAAAGTGGTTCCAATTTGTTTTGCACACAGAGGATCTGATGCGTCTATTTAGACTTACTTGTATGTACATGTAGCTATGCAAAGCAGCCATGATGCGTGTTTCTTGTCACTCTAACTACAACAGAATACATGTAGCTATTGCAGCTTGCTGCTTAAGAAGCAAATCAATTCATTCAACAAAAATATGAAACTTTATAACTCTGTCTTCTTTTACAACATCCATTAAAATATTTTTGTGATTAGTGGTTACAGGTAAGCCCAAGGCTATGAAAATGATTGTATCAATGATGGGTTGTGATTGTAGGCTCACCAGTATCCTTCCATGCAATGATGTAACTGAGGTGAATTTTTTTCCTTACCATTTGAAAACCCTATGAAACTAACACAGAAGACAGGTGTCAATAAAAGAAACACAGAAGAGAGATACTCACATCCATCTTGCACAGCTGCTACATCATTATCTTCCAGGTAGATTACTCGGTTTGTGTGCTCTATAACAGCACTGGCATCACTTGCAAAAAAGTATTCGGCCTCCTTAGATTCCCCAACAATCTCGAAATTTCTCAAGCTGATGGACCGCTCTATGGTAGTTGCTGCACACGATAAATTTACAATTTTTGAAATGTGCTTTAGTTCAAATTGTGATGATCTTGGTTACATGGTTAAATTCTTTAACAAACTGAGTTTTGAATCTACAAATAAATTGTACCAAACATTTAACAGGAACCAAAACTGTTCATATTTACACCTTGCATTCATGAAATTTTCAAAACCATTTGTGCTTTGTACAGGAACAGCAGTCTGCCAAACATATACCAGAAGCACCTCAGTTTTGGCTAAATGATAAATAGTTTTCGAGATGCTTATGATAATAAAGACAGGTTTCCATTTTCGTTTACACCCACTTCACTGGACTTCAATAGCATGATGCTTGTGAGAGTGGATTTAACTTGAAATTATTCACTAAGAAACAGTTTTAAGGAAGAACCAAACATCAATTAATGACAGCTCATACTGCCAATACTACAAACTCAAATGGATATCCACTAACAGCCCCATCTTAGACCCAACTCAGCAGCTGCTACTGTTACATTTTAGTTTGTAAACACACAATCATTCATAAGGACAGTTTATCCATTCCTATTGGTTGAGAGCCCACAACATGGCCAGTCTTCAACAGTTAATAAAGAACTGATTGGCTGTGAGCCATTTCACGTAGCACGTATCATGCGAGTGCAGTCTGCATTAGAGGAATTATTTTATTATTCTCAGACTACACACAAAATAGTCTTGCGATGGAGACAGAGGTTTGACTTTTTGGCATGTATTTCCTAGCTGCTGTTTTATTTCCTTTGTATTCATAATGCTTATATCAGAACTTCGGCAGCTTGCCAAAATGGGCACGTCTGACCAGATCACGAGACACAGGGCAAGCTTGCCCGAAATATTGGGCATGACTGCCCGAATACTTGCCAAGCTTGGCAGCTATGGGCCCAAATCCTTGGCATGCTTGCCATCCATTGAACTAGCCAAACCGGAATAAGAGGGTGCTAGCCAAAATGTTTGTGCTCGATTGTACATGTATGACATATGCCTAAATTATTAATATAACCAAATCAGCCCCACCAGAACAAGAGGTGCCTGGCACAAGATTAAACATAACAGATCACAAGTTTGAGAGTACACCGTCTTTTCACTATTAGCACATGCGATTGAATAAGCCCCACCAGAATAAGAGGGTGCTTGGCGTACCCGTCCTAAGATTAAACACGACAGATTAAAAGTTAACATACAAGTTCAAAGTTTAACATAAGACAAAGTTTATCATAAGACATACTTCCAAATTAAAGTTGTTTACTATTTTAGCTTGAATTGAGGCACTGCCTGTCGCTCCTAGCCAATTCCTACCACACGCGCAACGCGCCCCCCACTGAGACGATAGACAGTGCACTCCCCTCAACCTTGAAAATCCGTATACTATCCAATTCGAAAGTGACTTCCTTATCATGCTGATGCACCGTGAATTGCAGGCTCTCACCGGACGAACCATAAAATTGTCTGTTAACTTCCATTTCCCTGGTTCCATGTAAAGGGAGATCAATGCACGTAACGAAATGTGCAGTTGCATGTTTAACGCACTGACCCTAAAATTTGCAACATGCCCCAGGGCATGACGACATGCAAAGAGCAACTTCAATTTGGCCATGGCATCCATGTGGGATGCTTGATCAATATGGAAAAATACATGCAAGATCAGCAACCACCATCTGCGGTTGGCTTAATTTATCCCAAATGCATCAAAGAATCTGTCGTCAGATCTAGCTTGGTATTTGCTGTAAATCACCCTCAGATTAAATCAACAAAGAGCATTAGCTAAATCCATTTTATTATTGTTATATTATTATTATCCAGTCCACCTTGAGTTATGTGATAATAACCTACGGGGGGTCAAACCATTTGCACATTGTCTTGCCCACCATTCACCAAGTTAACGAAGCGGAGTTTAGCATACATGTACCTCCAGAACGGGTGACTGTACATCGGAAATTCAGTTGCCTGTCGAATAAACATCAGGCCACAATGGCCATCATAGTGCCACACTGGGCATGCATGGACCTAAATCCTTGCCATGTTTATTACTCAATCACCTCATCCTGAAAGTCATCGAAGTTGAACACTAACACCAACAAAGCAAATGAGCATGTACCAGAACTACGGTAGCTTGTGGAAAAAACGGGGCATGGTCACTCCATACTTGCCACACTGAGCACGCACAAGCTTTTAGATTCTTAGCATGCTGGCCAAGCATTCACCTTCATATTAACATAGCAAATTGATCAGAGTTGAATCAAGCCCCGACATAACAAGCGGGCCCAAACTGACAGCACAGCGGCAGCTTGCATATGAAATTAAATGGAACACGCTGCCATAATTGCCTCTTCTTGGCACACACGGCAGGTCCAAATTGTTGGCATGCTAGAAAACTGTTGACTTTATACAGGACAAAATTGGCACTAAAATGGAACATTGTAAAGTCTAACCTGACGGCGAAAAAACCTCCTGCTAGTACAATAACTCTCACAACACAGAAACTTGTGAAACCTTCTTTTTATCCAAAGCAAATAACTTTACCATAACGTAGAGTGAACTAAAGGGCCGACCTACATGTAGAATTTTCAAAAAGTCATCGGTTGGAAATAATTTTCAGTGTCCCAGTGCAAAAAACACTGCGTACGGAAACAATTCGTAGACGGACACCGCAAGTACATGTAATTCGAATCTTCATAACACTGGGGTCTGAAACTAAGATACTATTAAAACTGCATGGGAAACTTGGAACCTTAATCTTCCTACTGTACTAAATTCTTTTGAACAAGTGAGTTTGAAGTTATGACGATAAAATCGAGGAAAACAAGTAAGCTTTAGCTGTGAAAGTCACACTGCACGTTGAGCGTGTTTTGGAAATGTCAAACTTTCATGAAACTCTCTTCAAGAAATAAGAGAGCACGATATAGAAAGTTAAGTGAAATTAACAGGGTTTACTTTTGGTTAAACTTTCGTTAGTGTTGTGTGTAAGGCAATTATCTAATCCAATAGAATGCGGATTTTGCTATTAATTAAATCTCTATCCCAAAACTGAACCATGCATTTACTGGTGTGACAAGGGTTTTTATGTCACTTCCCAGTAAGTGCTATTCCGAGCTGCACCCAAACATTAAAAGTTCTAATGATTACGACACGGTGCTCCATGAAATTCACCATACAATAAAGCTCACAATATTGTGAAATAGATGCTGTATTTTCCCCAAATCTACTTACATGTACATGAAACTCCAACAATGCCAACTATACCAGGCAGCGCACAAGAAATAAGATAGCAAAGAGTAAACATGGTGAAATAAATTTGAAAACTAAAATTCTCTCTCTGAAGAGGCCTTAGGAAGTAGTCGAGCAGATTTTCATTCATAAGCGCCACCTAATTAATGGGCCCAGAGAGACAGAGAATACAACGGCCACAAGGTACCCAATAGACTTCCATGACTTTGCACTCTTCATTACAGGCAAATTCATTCATTAAACCAGTAAAGGAGCCGAATTATAACAAATGTTTGACAGAAGAGAAAAACATCCGGCTTAGTGCTTAGAAAAAAGCCCATTTGGACAGAACAGAAACGGGCCGATAAATAAACGGTCAATCCCTGCCCTAATTCAAATTTAGTTTGCAACTTGAGAAGACTATACATTGCCGACGAAGGAAAGAAAATCTCATACAGGTTTCTAAAACTATGAGAGAAAAACTTCACGAAAAACACTGAATAAAAGTGCGTCAGCTGATCATGATAATGTGTTAAGCACTGCTTGAATACAGCAAATTGATGGGCATTCAAACCACAAAAAGCCGGTGTCTTGTAAGAATTTGCTTCTACCAAAGATTAATGGGACACAAACATAGGTGGTTTGTTGTAGGTGGAATTCGGTTGTGTTGGTACATTTCAGTCCACTCTGCAAAAGACAATAACATAGTTTTTACTTCCCTACAATTACAAGGAATGCGTCAAATGGCCAAAATGCTGTAGAGAATGTTCTTAACATGCTGAGAACAGGGGCAGGTCTACGTGTAAGGAAGTTGCTTGCAGCTACACGCAGTTACACCTATCTTTTCATTGTTTTATGTCTGGTGCGGCAGCGCAGCCGGCATTGCCATGTACATGTATGTATCGCGTGTACCGTAGCGTTGCAATGCTGCCGTGAAGTGTGGGGCCTAAGCCCCACGTAAACTGAACGTGAACACGCACCGTGCCTGCAAGTGTATCGGAAGGAACTGAACGCAAGATTATCAGATTCAACTTACGCCCACCCTGTAAGCCTACTATCTCTAGTCCTGTGAGGCATAGCAGAGCGGCTGCCATGTTTGTCCTTCTTTTCTTTTCTTTTTCTATTAAAACTATCCAAGCCAAATAAAGTGGAAAAGGAAAGGGAAGGAACTGACTGTTTGGGGTAGACATTCAATAGCAGACCTCACCCACATTCCTGTGGGGGAGGAGTCTTCTGCTTTCAACCTACCCAAACAGTTGCTAAATATGCAGAGTAGCACCGAACCCGATATCGGTGAGGATGCACTACATAAAAGTGTGCGCCAGAGGAGCTTGTACGCCCCAAGGATTATATAGTGCGGACTCACTAGATAATGGAGCAGTTAGGCAGTTCCAGTGGTGGACCGCCTCAATGAGGAACCCTTCCGCATTGATCCAATGTCAGGACAGTTCTGCCAAGTGTGGAATCCTATTGTGAGACATCGGTGAGGTGGCATGTGGTGAATGTAGATGAGGCCTTTCTACATGTTGCCTTGCACATCTCCTCCATCGGTATGCCCCTGAAGTGGGCCCAAGATGTCAAAACTGCCCAGATATCATGAGCCCTGATGAGGTGTTGTGTTTGATTGTCCACAGAAATCGGCCAATCTGGGTTGGCAAACTTGATAGCTGAAACTGCCCATATGGCTATAGTGTCTCTGGCCGCAGCTCAGTAAAGTGTTATGGTAATAATGAAGAGCTGTGATATCCAACCTCTAAGCTTTCTGGTTCTGGCTATG